CCACGAGCATAAGGATGCTCAATGACAGTCATCGGAAGGCGAAGCAAACGGTTGATGTGCACCTCATTAGGTGCTAAACCGGTGGCCGCGCTAACAGAGTTGTTATACGCAAACACTACATGAGGGAGATGAACATCCCAATCATCTTGCCTTTCGTTAACGACCATGGCAAGCATTTGTGCCATAGTATGGTTGACTCGCTCGACACCACCATTTCCATTAGGATGGTACGAACTGGTGGCCACTTTGCGAACTGTGAGACGTTTGTAAACGGCTTGTGACAGTGTCGAGCAAAATTGTGTGCCATTGTCTGATAAAGGACTCAAGGGGCAACCCCACAGAGGGATATACCGATTCACTAAAATATCTGCAGTACCTTCAGCGGTAAACTCGGCAGCCGCAACAGCGTACATGTCAGTACGTCGACTAAACCGGTCGGTGAAGAGCAGAATGTAAGTGTTACCCCTAGGGGTAGTCGGCAGTGGGCCGAAATAATCGACACTCACGGACACTCCAGGTCCGGACGGCAGTGGCAAGCTTAAAATGGGCCACCGGGCCGTTTGTCGGGAAGTTTTACGAGCTTGGCACTTGAGGCAGAGGCAATGGCGAATCCACCATTTGGTACAGACGCTCATGCCTACCCACCAGTAGAAACGCTCTAACATAGACAGTGTACGAGCTGCACCAAGATGACAAGACGCATTAGCGTGACAGACCTGCATGATCCATGGGCGCATCAACATGGGGACGTAAACCCTAATAGGTTCGTCGTTGAGGAGACGTGCCGCACGCCCGCCATGGCGCGTGGAAGTGGCAGAAGCGGTTGTGGTGGGCTTCTTAACGAGAAGCACTACGTCATCGTCGTCAGCGTGCAACCGGCCTTTATGTGCCAGTTCACGGATGTCCGAAAACGAAGGTCGACGGTGTGACGGAAGGTGGTCAAGAAAACCAGGCGGTAATTCGGGAGGTTGACCTAGAAGGATGTAGCGTATGGCGGCATCGCACACGGGTTCACCGCGTTGTTCTCGCTCCCAATCAGAATGGGGGAAACGCTCAACCGATTCGCGGAAATCGAGCTCCACGCCCGAAAGCATTGGGGTATCAACAGCCGGCGGAACACGCACCGCACCAAGCAATGGTCCAGACGCGGGCGTCGGCGGTGTCGGGTCTCGGCGAACGGCCATCTCCGGAATTGGACTCAGTGGCGCCGAAGCGGCGGAATCCACCGGCCGGGAAGCCGAAGATTGATGAACGCGAGGCGCACGAGCTACAGACTGAGGGACAGTCGGCTCGAGAAGCGAGTCCTCCGGCTGGGAAAAGCCATAAAGAGGCGAAGTAGCAGAGGTTGCAAGCGAAATGTCGGAGGGTGAAAGGGGAACGGCATCGTCTTGTGCATTCCCAACCCTCGTGTCCGAATATGGAGAAGAAACAGCGGGTGCAAGGGCACCAGCGTTTCGCAGGGCAGGAGCACCTCGCTCCACCATCCCTGATACACGTACATCTTGTGAAGAACGTGCAATATTTCCCGATGGTACCGAAGGCGGGTCGGGGGAGGTACACGAACCGCCACCGAGGAGTCAGTTGGACCCACGAGCATTGTGGCCATTCTGACCGCCAGATTGGAAATTTCCCGGTTGTCTAGCATTGTAGTTAGACGAAACAGAAGCGCCAGGAGGAGAGCCTGTGTGGATCGACGATTGCGGTCGGTATGTAGACAGAGCACCGTGTGATGGGTGTTGTCTGTGGACGGCTGTCGCTTATGAGCAAAATTTCCATGATTGCGACCATCATTCTGGGAGTTACCGTTGTTACGGTAGTCGCCTGCGTGATTTCTACGCGAAGACGAAGAGTGACGCTTGTTACGCCCGCCACCAGCACCTGAATCGGTGTGTGGCTTGCGACGGTAAGACCTCATACGGCCTTGCCAACGTCGGAAAGCGTCAGAGTTGTCGTGCAGCTCACCTAGTTCTGGGTTCAACAGACCGCTAGAATTTGTGAAAGGAGCTGGGCAGTGTTTCATGGAATGGTCATCACCAGAGCAGTTCAAACAACGGTTACGGTTCTCTCGAAACGCTTGCGAGCGAGCGTCCTGAGTCAAGAGAGGAGTCCACAAAAAAGGATCACCGGTGTTCGGAAAGAGGAACTGACTTGGTACACATTCGACCAATCGCCCTGTGTGGCGGACCATGCACTATAATCACGGGAAAACGGATCATCACCGCCGCCCTGAGACTGAACTGCCAAAACAACAGGATTTTGTGCAGAACCTTGTGCCCACCGGCCCGAAGGCGCAGGTGCAGTTGCACGGTTCTGGGAACGCCGGGGCTGCGAAGAACCAGGCGTTGAAGACAAAGAAAAATACTCTGAACCTCCTATGGCGGGGGTTTTGTTGGTGGCCAAAGGCGCGAACGCCTGCCACATTGCATCAATCGAGTCAAACGGTGTCACGGCCGTAGCCAGGTCACCAGGGTACAGCATCGGAGCCATAAGACGGAAAATGTTTACTTACAGAATTCCTGACTATCTCAAGCACCATAGACACGCTAGGAGCCAAAACACGCTCAGATCTGGTCACAGAAGAAACCGAAAGGCGGAACGCCCTAAGGTAATCCGCAAACAAGGTTCCATTCGAAACACCAAATTGCTGAAGTCGCAAAAACGACTCCTGTCGATCTCCGACATGGAATTGCTCCGACAGCGGCCGCAGAAGGAGCGTGAAGGCCTCTGGACCCGTGGCTCCTTCATCCAGCCTCCGCTTCACTTGCTGAAAATAATCAGAAATGGAGAGGACAAGATCGAATGTAGTAGGTTTGTCAGGTGAGATCGCACTCAAAATTCTCTTTTGAAGAGTGCGCTCCCAACCTCGGACAAAATCGGAGTCCATCAAACCGACGCTACGATCATCACACAACATCAAATTATCCGTGAGCGCAGATCGAACGGTGCGAATGAGCTGCTGATATGCATCAGCTGGCAGCAAAGACGCAGGGAAAGGCATAGCGGATACACGTTCAATTTTTTTGAGGTTGAGGGTGATGTACTCACGTTGGACACGAGCAACATGTGCGGCATCAACTGCCGAAGCAGCAGCAGCAACCGTTGCATGGCGAGCGTGAGCAGTGGTGGAAGAAAGTGGTAAAGCACCATCATCGGTGGAGGCTCTGTTTTGACAGACGGTGGGGCCGCTTCAACAGCAGCACCACTGGGTTCGGAGACGGTTTTGTGTCTGCAACATCAACACCACGGAAGTCTGTCAACTTGACAGAACGCAACACAGTGCTTCGAAAACACAAGATGACCATCACGCAGAAGAGCGTTAAGACGATCATCAGAAGCAACATCCACGAGAGACGGTACTACTTGCCTGGAAGACCGGCCCGAAAAAGCCTTCCGAGTAAGACTACGCGCCGAGGCGGGGTCCGAGGATGCTCCTCCAGCTGTGTCCGAAGACGGGCGGGAAGTGCGGCTCTTCTTGTTCGCTCCTTTCTTGTCCGCGCGCTCCGAAGAGCTGGACCCCGAAGAAGATGGCTGGGCGCGACCACGATAGGAAGAAGCAGATCCGCGGTGGTGGCTGCTATCGCTGTCGCCAGAGCTGCCGCACGGCTAATCTCCTATCCTCCATGATATGACGAACAGCGAACCGTACGAAAATAGCTGCTTCACAGCAGCATCCATCGCATGAAAGTACAAGCATATGGGCAGGATGGGTAATAGTGTTAACAAGAGGTATCACGCCCAGAATTATTACAAGCGTCGCTTGCTCCCAAGCACTCCTGAGTGTTGCTACTCGTAGAGTTCAAGGGCAGCAGCAGTAGCTGCACGTTCATGAGCGGAAGAAAGCATGGGGGGCGTGGCAGGCACATGGTTAGCAGAAGCTACAGCGCGTGCATTGCGAGCCTGGTGACGACTATCACGAGCAAGCGCCTGCTCTCTGTTCTCTTAGAGTTCTCGTATTTTTTTAGAGGAATAACTCTGAGAAGCGGACACTCGGGGCGGCGGTCACACATCAGTATGCACCGACCGAGCACCCGCGCTGCTTCCCCGAACAGGAATCAGCGATTTTGCTACATGGTTAATAGCAGGCGTATCGCAACGCACACCTCGAGAGGCGTTGATGGTTCGTGGTGCGACTGAGCGCACATCAGAACGAGCACTACACCCGTGGCCATTCGGCTAAGCCACAAGGTTGGGGGGGGGGGGGGACTTTATCGGTACGCCCCCCATTAGGCGTTGACTAGGGTTAGGTAACCTGGGCAAGGTCAAGTACCTGGGCAGGGTTCGGCACGAGCGACCTTTTGGGTACGCCCCCCATTATCACATGAGTGGGGTTGGGTAACCTGGCCAAGGTATAGTACCTGGGCAGGGTTAGGCACGAAAGGCACGTTGCCCTCGTTCCAGACCCTGCCAACGTACGTCAATGGTAACCTGGACACAGTCCGAAACTGGGTAGGATTCGGTATACAAGGAACCTTGGCCTAGGTCCAGACCATGGCTACGTAGGCACAGCGACCTTGGGCTTGGTTATGGGCATGCCATCGTCGCGTCTGTACCACTATAATAGGTAGGCCCAGACCCTGCCAACGTACGCACAGCGACGTTGGCCCAAGGGTGGGGTAAGCAACTTTTTTCTGGGCCGACGCCCTCACTAGGGATACGAGCATGACGTTGCTCAAAACGTTTATTTTCAAGTTGTATCGCAGATCGTGCGGCCGACAAACGACAAGTCACACATGTCGGCCTCTGAAAT